AGGCCACGAGCTGGGTGCTGCTTAGAGCAGGGTGGATTTTTGGCACCTTCCATGCCCCACGCCAGTGAGATTCTTCCACATAAACAACCTGATCACTGCGTTTTCCAGTGGCCTCCACCTCTTAGCACTCAATGATTGCTGCCCCAGGTGTCTCCAGCTGGCAAACAGCTGCTTCTCCTTAAGTTTGTAGAGCCCTGCTGCCATGCTGGATGCTGCTGCCCTGTAAGAAGTGTCCCCAGGCCTTCCAGCACTGCTGGCTGGAAGTCAGCCACACACAGTCCTGCCACACACACACACAGATTGGGTTTCCAAGATGCTCTCATCTCACTGGCTGTGGTGCCCCATAAGTGTCAGCGTTCCCCTGTGAGCAGGCTGTTCTAGTGCTGTTTTAAACAGGGCAAAAGTTAAACATGTAGAAAGATGGGAAGCCAACAGATAAAAACTGAGTCTGACAGTGCATCGTTTCGCACCTTAAGATGGAGCATCGATAGCACTCAGATCAACCCCTGCCCTCCACGAGTTTGTGCAGTCAGGAGTAAAGTAGTGGTGCTGAGTTAGGGGTGCTGTAAGTCAGTGTGCTGAACTCTCCCCATCCCTGCCCTTGTAGGCTGAAGGGAAATATAAGGACGACCCTGTGGACCTGCGCCTTGATATCGAGCGCCGTAAAAAACATAAGGAAAGAGATCTTAAACGTGATAAATCCAGAGAGTCGGTGGAGTCCAGGGATTCGAGTCACTCGAGGGAAAGATCGGCTGAGAAAACGGAGAAAAGTCACAAAGGCTCAAAGAAAAAGTATGTAGGAAAGCCCACAGCCATTTCCTTCTGCATTTCGTGTTTCTGCTGTAAGAGCTGGAGACAGCCTGCATTTGTGGTTGTGCACCTGTGACATAACTGCTGTGAGTGAGTTCCCTGCGTGTCTTCTTGATGCCATTGTGTCTATCTGGAACGTAAAGTAACTGGTAAAGGTAAATGGGAAGTGGGAAGGCGCCGTGTGTCGCAGTGGGTAAGTCCCTTTTTCTTCTTGCTCCAGCTGTAGGCAGTGGCAGCGTTGAAGTAACTTTGCCTCAAGTTTCATTTCGTCCTTTTCTATTTGCTTGATTTTTTTTTCCACGGGACTGGAAAACTCTGGGAATGAATGCCTTTCTCCTGGGAGGGAGACTGAGAGGAGAGAGAGGCTGTTGGTCTCAGATGCCTGCTGATCTCCTAGCGGGCAGCACCAGTGCTTTAAAAGCAGCAGAATCTTGACAGAGAAGCCCTGGGACCTCAGCTAAATGTGCACGTCACAGCTGATGTTGAACTGTGACTTTCCATAGCAGGAAAAGGAAAGCATCGTGTCGATGGGGGCACTGATAAAATAGTTTGTTAGCCATCAGGTTACTGCAGAGCGATTAATCCAGATGCTGTTCCCCACCCTTATTTCCTATCACTGAAACAGGAAACACCGACGGGTGCGTGAGAGGTCCAGGTCCAGCTCATCGTCCTCACGCTCCTCGCATTCAGTGAAAGCAGAGGAGTATCCTGAGGAGCCTGAGGAGAGGGAGGAAAGCACCACAGGCTTTGACAAGTCCCGACTTGGAACTAAGGAATTCACAGGTCCAAATGAGAGAGGAAGAGCCCGAGGGACCTTTGTAAGTGCTTCCCCAGCCCGGGTGTCAGTTGCAGGGCAGTCAGAGGCAGGCACTGCGCCTCGTGCTGCGCTTAAAGCGTTCTGTTATGGTGAAGCCTGCAAGTCCTTGGTTGTGGATGAGCCAGAATGTGATCCCTGCAGACCTGCAGCACAAACCAGGCTGTTGGGAACGCAGCCGGGCAGCTGAGCTCGAGGTGCAGAGTGCAGCCTGGAAGCTGCTGTACGTCAGTGGGGTAGGCTGGGGGGGGAGGCTCAGCTTTGTGCCTTGGGTACACAGGAGTCTGTGCGTGTTGGATGCTTTCTTGTGGGTGCTCAGGAAACACCTCTCTCCACATGAACTGTACTGGGTGATGTCATCCGTGGGGATTGAAAACCATGAGATGCTGTGAGCTGTTATTGAAGGGTTGCAGGTGCTCCTGGCTTGCTGGGAAGCGGTGCTGCATCGCAGCTGTTTGACTTTCCTTCCATGTTTTGCTCTTACAGCAGTTCAGAGCGAGGGGGAGAGGATGGGGCAGAGGCAACTTTTCAGGCAACAACAACAGCAACAGTGGTGGCAACAACGACTTCCAGAAGAGAAGCAGAGAAGAGGATTGGGATCCCGAGTACACGCCGAAGAGCAAGAAGTACTACCTGGTACGTGTGCTGAGTGTGGGACAGCTGAGCAGCACGGCTGGGGCGGCCCCAGTGCTCGTGACCACCAGGAAGCTGCTGGCTCCCCGCTGAGGAGGAGCTCTGCTCATGGCAGCTTGCTTTGCCTTTAATTGGCCCCTAGATTTGATTGTAAGATGCCATTTCTCAGTGGCAAAGCCTTTGTGCAGCGTCGCAGGAGCCGGCCTGTGCTGCTTTTGGCCCTTCTGCCCTCGCTGAACTCCGGCTTCCTGCCTGGTGGCCCTGTGCTGTTCCTGCTGGTAGCAGGGTGTCACCCCACGGGTGGCCCTTTGACAAAGGGGGAGTTTTAAGCAGCACAGCTCCTTTGTTTCTCTTCCCGATCTGGGGTGCGTGAGATCCTCACCCTTCCATCCTGCGCCTCACACGACCAAGCCTAGATTCCATTTCGCTGCCTGCCTTCTCTCTGGGCAGCCTGGGGTCGCCTTCTCCCCGCTGCCCCCCTGCTCTGTGTCACTGCTGTCCCTGCCTTCCTCCTGCAGCACGATGACCGCGAGGGCGAAGGCGCCGACAAGTGGGTGAGCAGAGGCCGCGGCCGCGGCGCCTTCCCACGAGGCCGAGGGCGTTTCATGTTCAGGAAGTCGAGCACCAGCCCCAAATGGGCTCACGATAAATTCAGCGGCGAAGAAGGAGAGATCGAAGACGACGAGAGCGGGGCGGAGAACAGGGAGGACAAGGACAGCCTGCCGTCGGCGGCCGAGTAGCGGCGGCGCTGGAGAGGCCCAGCGGCCCCTGAGGGCTCTGCCACGACCTGACACAGCCCCGAGTTCCCTGCCTTCTCACAGCTCTGCCCCTCCGTGCGGCCGAGCCGCATCCCTTGTGCTTGGGGCACGGAGAGCCTCTTCCCAAAGACGTCGGGCACCGACTGAGTGCTGCGTGAGGCCCTGGCCGTTCTGCCCGTGCCCTCGGGGCATGGCTGTGTTTGTTCTGGGGGTTGATTTGATAACGGGCTTTGAAGGCGCCGCGGGGTTGGGTTTGTGCCCAGCTGTAGTCCAATAGTCGATGGTTTTGTTTCTCTTTTCTAATTTGAAGTAGTACAGCTCGGGGTTTTCTCGCCCGTTCCCATTCTTCCCCCCTGTTGTGTATTCCGTTTTGTTTTTTTTAATTTCATACTCTCCTTTTAGGCCTTTGTGTAGTAACATCAATTAAATGATAATTTTGGAAACTCTTTTTGGTTCTTGAAGTAAGAAGCGATGAAGCATGTGAATAAAGATCTAAATGTTAACGTGTTGGGACCAAACTGCTATGATTTTGGTTTTTTTAAATGGGTTTTTTTTTTAATGTGAGACAGTTGACTTCTGGGGCCTTACAAAAATGCCTGTTTCTTTCCTTTGTTTTGTTTTGTTTGAAAGGCAACAAAACGAGCGTGATTTTAAAGGGAAAAGAAAAGCTGCCCCCTTTCTGCCTGCTGTTGGTGTGCATTTGGCCTGGTGTCCTGCAGCCCCCCCTGCCCTGTCCCCCCTGCTGCCCTGACCCCCAGCTAACGCTTCCCTAAGGCCCCTCAGCGCTGCCCCAGGTTACAAACGACGCAGCGCAGACGAGGATTTTTCCATGTTTTTAATTGATTTGTTGATAAAAATGAAGGCAAATCTCTGCTGCTCTGCCCGGCCGTGGCCACGCGTGGCTTTTTGGCTTCTGCTTCCAAGGAGAATCCAGGGCAGCAGCGCTGGGCTCAGGGCTCTGCTCTGCTCCCCGCTGCCCCCCGCACGCAGCGGCTGCAGCTCGGTTTCTTTCCACTCGAGCAGCTCCTCTTTAGCAAACCCCTGATGTTGGTCGTGCAAATAAAACGCAATAAAACGAGGCGGTGGAGCGGCTTGCTTCTGTGTCGCAGTGCTGCCCAGCCCTCCTCCCCCCTCTGCTGCGTTCTGGCATTAAACCTCCGTGCCCCTCAGCCGTGGAGGACAGCATTGGTCGCCGCCGCTGATGCTCAGCGCGGTTTTTGCACGGCTCTCGCTGCACAGGAAGGCGCAGCTCCGCTGTGCCCGGTGTGGGGCGATGGTTTGCAGTCTGTGTTTTCCTTCTCGCTGGAATTTGAGCCCTTAAACCGACGCGGGACAAAAGGAGCTCAGTGCTCGCTGCTCCTGCAGCTCCTGCTCCCGCCGCTGGTGGTTGGGCGCAGGGCTTTGGGCTGCAGCTCGTGCTCCTCTTCCATGGGTTCAGTGTCACCAGCTGGGGGCCTTCGGCTGCAGGAGAATTCACTGCTGAGTACAGAAGCCCCCCCAGCCCCCCTGCTGCTCTGCGGCCTCTGTGCTCCGCGCAGCCCCCCGTGCTCGAGGTTGGGGCTCAGCTCTGCTGTGTTTCCGTAGCTCAGTGGCCCCCACTGAAGCTGAGAGTCACGGCTGGGGGGCGCGGGGCCCCGGCAGCCCCATCACCGCATGGGAGCAGAGCAGGGAGCAGCGCCTCTTCCTCCTCCTCCTCCTCCTCTGGAACGGGCTGCCCAGGGAGGTGGTGGAGTCTCCTGCTCTGCAGATGTTCAAGACCTGCCTGGATGCCGACCTGTGCGACCTGCTGTAGGGAACTGCTTTGGCAGGGGGTTGGACTCCATGAGCTCTGCAGCTCCCTTCCAACCCCTACAGTTCTGTGATTCCTCCTCCTCCTCCTCACCACCCCCGCTCCGTTTCCCATCCCCAGCTCTCGGCACGGTTTGGCTTCGCGCCACCGGCGTGGGATTGGGAGAACATCTGGAAAACATCTGGATCCGGCGGGGCCAGGCTGGGAAGGAGCTATTTTTGTAGATGTGGAAGGAGGGGCGGCGGGGCTGAGAGCGGCACGGGCTGGGGGGAACGAGAGCAGCTCTGAGCCCACCGGTAAACATCCGGAGCCGCGCCGGGCCGGAAAGGCCGAAGACAGCGGGCATGGAAACGGGAACGGGAACCGGGCAGGGGAGCACCGCGCCGGGGGCAGCGCCCACAGCCCTGTCCTCACCCGTGGGGCTGCTGGGCCCCCCCGGCTTCGTACCAATGGCTCCAAGTGCATCGCGTCCCACAGCGGCGGGCTGAGGGCGCTCCGAGGTGCCGCCCCGTCCGGCCGGCTTCCCGCTGCCCGCGGCCTCCGCTCAGTAGTAATGCCCGCGGCCCAAAGTGCCGGCGCCCAGCAGGTCGGGCTGCCCGTTGCGCCAGATCTCGCGAATGATCCGCTCCCGCTCCTCCAGGCGCTGCGCCCGCTCCAACTCCTCGGCCGACGCGAAGACGTTGATGGGAGCAGCGCCGTCCCCGGGGCTGTGGCGCTCCAACGGGATCTCGGTCATCGGCAGCAGCGACTCGGAGGCGGCGCGGTCCACCGTGTCCTCCTCTTCATCCTCATCGTCGTCGTCGTCCTCGCTGAGGTCGGCGGGGCCGGGCCGCGCCGTGCGCTGCGTGCGGGGCCGGCAGGAGATGCGCAGCAGCAGCAGGCACAGCGTCAGCACCAGCCCGAAGCAGACGCCCAGCACGAAGTACAGCCCGAAGCTCTCGGGGTTGGCTGTGGGATTGGAACACCGGGGCTGAGAGGGTGGACGGGAGCTGGGGCGGCCCCGGGGTCCCCGCTGGGGATGCGCCCCTTGTCCTCACCTCGGATGTGTGCGTACGCAGCCATGCTGTTGCTCAGCAGCTCCATGTCCTGCTTGCGGCTCTCCATGGCTGCGCTCAGGGCCCCTGGGGACAGCGCATGTGGGGCATCTGGGGGACATGGGGTGAGTGGGGCCCGGTGCCGACCCGGCTGGGCGCTGAGCACACGGTCCCACTCCCACCCCCCTCTGCCCTTCCTGCAGGGCTGGGCAGGATGTGGTTCCTCCAGGACCCGGTGCCAAGCGGATCTGCGGTACCGGGATGGGCCTTCCGCCGTGGGACACAACCCTGAGGGCAGGACGTGGGGCTGAGCACTGAGCAGTGCTGGGTCCTCCTCACCCTGTGCTCCTCGCCCCAGGACTCCCCTGGCTCATCCCAGCGCTCCTCCCAGCTTACCATGAGCTTCGTCTATTTGCCTTGGGGCACGGGGACAAAGACGGGACGAGGGGCAAAGGCCATCGGTGGGATGAGCAGAGGGAGGGACTGGGGCGGGCACTGACCCCGTGCTGCCGTGGGACAAAGTGCTGAACTTCCCCTGGGAAAGGCCTGGGAGGGAGCACCGGGTGTCACAGAGCCACCTTCCCCTGCCCAGCACAGCCCCACGGTCCCCCCAGAATCCAGCCCCCCTGCTGCTGGTGTGGGGCTGGGTCCACGCTTTGGGGCCGTGCTATGGGGTGGAGGCGATGCAGTGCTCAGGCCCTGGCAGAAGGAAGCTCTCAATTCCCAGAAACGTCTCCACGGACGGAGGAATGAGGAAAGAAATGCAGAAAATGTGACACATCAGCAGAACCATCCATGGACAGTCCAGTGCTGCATACAGTGGGGCTGGGCAGGATGAGGTGGTGGGGATACCCCATAACAGGGCTGCCGGGGCGCCCAGGAAGATCCCGGTGCCCTCTGTGCAGAGCAGCCGCCACTGCTGAGCCCCGTGGGGTGGAGAGGCACAGCCCTGCCCTGGGGTTCTGGAGCACAAAACCGTTATAAGACCACCACAGTGCCAGCCCTGAGGCCACTGCCCACCCAGGGTTCGGGGCCTGTGGCTGCAGTGGCCAAGAGGAAGGGGACAGATGCCCTGAGCCCCCCCAGCAGAGCCACTGGCACAGCCCCACAGCACCCAGCACTGAGCGCTGTGGTCTCCAAACCGTGTGTCCCCAAGCACGCGCTGAGCACCACCCCTGCTGGACCCAAATGCTACGAATTCAGCCTCCCCACATCCCTACGATCTGCATCCCCCAGCACCGAGTTGTAGCCCCAAGCACTGAACTCCACATCCCCAGGCACGGAGCCCCGCAGCCCCTCAGCGCCGCGTCCCCAAGCACCGAGCGCAGCGTCCTCACTGCCCCCATCCCCAACATCACCCTCCCTGGGTAGGGGACACCACGGAGCCGTTACCTTTGGGGTGGGCAGACACGAGGAGCCTCGCCAGCCCACAACCCCCCCAGCCCGCGCTGCACTCACCGGGACGGCAGCGGAGCCTCCGCACTTTGGCTGTAGAGAGACGAGACAGAAAGGTCTGTTTAGCATTAACGCTGCAGCAACAGGAAATAGTTTGGAGGAGGCTGGCGGTCAGCACTCCCTGCTGGAGCCAATGGCAGCTCCGTCCCGCTCCCATGGGATGCACAGCACAGAGCCTGGCAGCCTTGTCCTGCTCCCAGCCATAGGCCCAGTCCCATCTGCTGCTCAGGGTGCGTTTGGAGGCACCGCTGCACAGCACGGCCGGGACCCCACGCAGCTCTGGAGCTCCCCTGCACACAGCTTTGGGGTTGAGGGGCGCCTCCTGTGCTGCTCTATGAGGCTGAGGTTCCCTCCACCATAAACACAGTGAAGCGTCCACCCCTTAAAACTGCTGCTTGCAAGAGCCGAGGGTCTCCTCCCCTGCACGTCCCTGCAGCTGAGCGATGGGACATCAGCCACAAACCATTGCTGCAGGACCGTCCTGAGTCCCAGGGCTCCCTGCACCCTGTGCTGACCAGGCTCTGCCTCTGCCATCACCATTCTGCTCCCCAGCAACGGCACCCACACCGCTGCTCCTCCCATAGGAGCCCAACAGTGAGGACCCGCAGCCTCGTACCCCCCAGCCCCACGTGGATTGGGGGCCCTACACCCCTATGGGGCACCGCTCCCCCTCGGGGCTCACTGAGCACCTGGCTCTCAGTACCAACTTTTATTGCCGACATGCAGGAGGAGGTTCGATGCAGTACAAAAATAACATCTTTATACAAATTTTTTTTTTCTTTCTCTTTTTTTTTCTCCTTTTCCTTACAATAGGAACCTTTCCCCACAGCGTGCCACGCACCGCTCCCCAGCGCACCACTCGTGTCCTCCCCCCTCCCTCCCCCCATTCCAGTCCACTGTAGCACAGCTGTGATCCCCCGGCGATGGCACTCCGTGTCACAGGCCCCAGAGTATTGCTTTGACTTTGGGAAATGGAAGAGAAACAGGGAGGAGAGGGGGAGGCGGTGGGGCAGGGGACAGATCCGTCAGCTCAATAAATAAGGCGAAGACTCGAAGCTACTGGCTCAGCTGGGGGCTGCGGCGAGGGGAGCAACGCCTGCTGCTCCAGCCATGAGCAGGCAGCAGCCCCACGAGGGGCAAGAGAAGGCAATGCTACACCTGAGCTGCTGCTCACCCCACAGGAGCACACAGAGCTCGGATGGATGATGGGGGGCAGCTCGTTCACATTATAACCCACGTATTAGATCTGTACCACAACCGACGTGTGAAAAGGCTAGGTCAGAATTAATGCAACTTTAACTGCACCTCGGATAAGCTACAGGAAAACAAAAAAAAAGGATTAAATCGTGTATTCTTAATGAAACTAAAAGAGCTGGGGAAAGGTGGGGGAGAGGGTGAAGGCCACGCAGGGCTGAGCGCCGTGCAGCCCCCAATCAACCACGGGCTGGGGGGGGGGTTTTGCACAGCCACGGCCTGCAGTGACAGCTCCCAGCCCTGTGCCACCAAGGGCTGCTGGTGACGGGGGGCTGCTGGTCCTCCCAGCCACACAGCGGCACCCAGGGCAGTGCAGCAACAGCAGGGGGCACGGTGAGAACAGAAAAAGATTTGATGCAGACGGGGCGCCGCCCCCCCCCTAGAAAGTGGGAGGCTTCAGGAAATTCTTTCTTTCAAGAAACCCGGATAAATCTAAGCTTATTCAAACCATATGGAGCGAATGCAATCGGCCGACTCTCCATGCTACACAGCCGCAAACTCTCGTGCCAGCAAGCCAGCTTCACCCTGGGAGTCTCCATCCCCACGGGCTTTGCTCGGTCCAGAGAACAGCACGGTTAAAAAGACAAGAGAGGTAGATTACAGTCGTGATTAGAAGCAGATTAGTCACCTAGGCTTCGATTTAAAAAACAACAGAGATTCCAGAAGACGCCGAGAGGCCGCTGCTTCCAAAAGGAGCTTGGTGAAAAAAAGTCTTCTCCGTCCAGAGCGCGTCCCCGAGCAGAGCTCAGAACTGCTACATGATTCTCCGCCGTGGGACGCCGGTATTGCTGCTGGGCTGCAGTGTGGGAGCGGGCTGCAGGGCGCGCTCTGCTCCCAGAGGTGTGGAAGCTACTTCCGCAGGTAGCGCTGGGCCAGGATGGCCGCGTCCAGAGGGTTCATGGGCTGCGCGTCGTGGCCCAGGCGGCGCACGGGGGGGATGTTCCCAAACTGCCGCTTCTGCAGGAAGCTCTTGGCCTCGTGCAAAGTGTTCTTCTCCTCGGCCAGGAGCAGCTGCTGCCTCATGTAGTTCTCGAATTCGTACTGTGAGCATTCCTCCGTCACCTTCGCCTGCGGGAGAGGCGGCCGTCAGAAAGCAGCCCTGCTCCCAGAGCTCGGCCTGCACAGCCCTGAGCCGCCGTGGGTTGGTGGCACACACACACAGAGCACACACACACCAACACAGCACACCAACACACCAACACAACACCCAACACACCAACACAACACCCAACACAGCACACCAACCCACACACCGACACAACACACCGACACAACACACACATACCCAACACCCAACACAGCACACCAACACACCAACACAACACCCAACACACCAACACAACACCCAACACCCAACACACCAACACAGCACACCAACACAGCAACCCACACACTGACACAACACCCAACACACCAATGCAGCACACCAACACACCATACACTAACACACCATACACCAACACACACACACAACATCCAACACACCAACACAACACCCACCAACACACCGCCCAACACACCAACACAGCACACCAACACACCAACACAGCACACACCACACAAACACACTCAGGTACCTCCTGTGGGTGTTCAGGGTTGGCCACCTGGTCGTCGATATCCGGCACCACTTGCAAAGGGCCGCTCAGCGACGACATGGACTGCCTGCAGGGACAGTGCACCATCAGGAACCCGCTGTGCAGCCGTGCTCCCTCCCCCCTCCCACCCCCAGGGTTTTGCTTTTTGTTTTTAGACAGGATGTGGAGCTGACGCCTCGCATAGGTGGGAGAGAAAACAGCCGCGGCTCCAAAAATCACAGGCTGAGCAGCTGACTCAACAGGCAGAACAAGAACTTGGCCCGGTGTGCTGCTCGGAGCAGACAGGAGGTCACAGGGCTGGGGAGAGGGCTGCCCAAATCACACACTGTCGGGATGAGTTTCTGCTGGATCGTGCTCCTGGAACCTCTCTGGCTGTTGGTCCGTGCCAGTCCTGGCACCAGATTTATCCTTAAAAGGCCTCTCACCCTGTAGTGTAGTGTGCTCCTCTGCAGCAGTGTCTCCTGCTCTGCTCTTCTTGGAGACCTGCTTGCTTACACTTAGGGGCAGTGCAGAGCCCCTCACGAGCTTACAGGAAGAGCCTAGATTTGGCTGCATGTATGTGTGTGATATTCCTGACCACTCAGATTTAAGAGTCAAATATGGGGTGAGATGGGGAACACAGCAACAAAACTGTGCAACTGCACAGAGTGCGGGCTGTGTGACAGCATGGGCTGTGTGACAGCATGGGCTGTGTGACA